ACTTCTTTGGATGCATATAGAATGCATATAGCAGTCAATCTGTTTTTTCACTTCAGCAGGTGGGTATTGTAGTTTTAAGCACCTACAAGATCTCTATCAAGCATTCTTAAAGCTACAATACTCACCTGCTGAAGTGAAAAAACAGATTGACTGCTATATGCATTCTATATGCATCCAAAGAAGTGGGCTGTAGCCCACGAAAGCTTATGCTCTAATAAATTTGTTAGTCTCTAAGGTGCCACAAGTACTCCTGTTCTTTTTGTGGATACAGACTAACACGGCTGCTACTCTGAAACCTGAATTTGTTAAATTTCTTTGCTTTCAGATCTAAAATTGAACATTAATCTCTGATAAACATCACCAAACCTTCTTTAGTTTCCCATAGTAATTCCTTCCATACTACCACTGTTCTGGCCCGATTCTTTCCTCTCTTACCCAGATTTTACATCAATATTACTCCTTCAACTTCAACAGAATTGCTCCCGACTGACACCAGCAAGAGATGAGAATCAGGCCTTCATGTTTAATGGTTTCTATCTGCATGCAATACCTGCTCATTCTCTATTAAAATACTGTACACACTGGATAGCAAGTAGCCTAGCATGTTGCTGGACTGTAGCAAATATAAAATAGTGAAACATGTCCAGTCTGAATTCAGTTTCATAATAGTCTTTGTAATTAAATGTTAGTATACAAATTATCCTGCACCTTTATGCAATGAAGATAAATAGTGGGAAGAACACTTTATAATATTAATTTAGGCAAACATGTATTTGTACAATGTGTAAAGACAAAAATGTGAATAGTTCCAAGAAATAAACAGAACAGTTTCTCCTTGTAGTGATTAACTGAATGGGAAAAAAAATCACACCGTACTTGCCAATTATTTAAAAGATATGCAGAATATGCCCTTCTTCCAACAACTATGGAAAATGATGATATAGTTAACATGACATCATTCTGCCGCCTACAGAATGTTTTTAGTTTGAGAGTTCAAAAGGAAGTAGCAGTAATAAAACCAAAATCAAATACTAACACTAAAAATTTTATTGCTCTGATGGTAAAAGAGGATAAAATAAATTTTATGAGTCAATTAGATTTCGGAGGTATTACTAAGTCAACCTGTCCACACTTGGTAATGCATAATGCCCCAGCAAATTCAATACAGAGAGCACCAAATTATTGATTACTAAAGCCCTAAATGTTCTGGTCATCAAAAATTAATGCTCCATCTTGCTCCAGTTCTTGACTTTGCACTCAGCCAACTGATCACCAGAAACTGTCAATCTGTAGAAGGCACCTCCCCTTCCGGTTCCACAAAATAGACCAAGGGTGAACATTTCATAAATCAGTCTTTCTGCCAGATTCAAAAAGATCAAAACATAGTCTCTCTGGATATATAAGGAATTCTGGGGGTACTAAAAGTTAATTTTCTTTCCTTGAACACATGGAATTATCTCTTGGTTGAATGATGGATAAAATACTCAGAGTTTTCCTTTATTCCTACTTTTTTCCATGTAAAGAGCCTTAAGATTGGTGGTAAAGTTATATAGAGTCAATCAGCCTATGAAAGTTGACCCCCACAAAGAATCAATCTCCTAACCCTACAAAAAAGCCCACGGAGTCTCGAATTGCTGACATCAACAAGGCTCCCCAGGCTGTAAAGGACTGTATTCCCACAACCAACTTTATGCTGTGATGGTGCTTTGCAGGCTGGCTCCACAAAGGAAGGGGTGGGTGAGCAAGTAGGTTAATACTAGTCCCTTTCCCTATTCCATCTGCTTCTGCTAGCAGTGGCTGCTGCTGAGTTTCTATTCTAGGAGGACACTAGGGACTTCATAAAGGATATCAGATGATAAATTCTACACACTGATATGAATATGAATAAACGTAGTAATTAAGAGCGCTGAGTGAAGAAGAGCGCTGCTTCTTTTTGTTCAGCGAGACTATAGTTAAAAGCAACATCCCTGACACTGGAAAAAAAAGTGGTACAAAAATTAGTTATAAATAACCAGAATGACTGTGTAGATACACGGGGCACTGTGCTAACATTTCAGAGTTCAAGCATTGGCTTATAAAAACATTTTTTTATCTACCTCAGACAGAGCATCTCTTTCACACAGAACATGTCAACTAACACATTTTAACAGTACTTTTTAGGTGTTGTCTCGACCAGGATTTGAAGGTATGAGGTTAGCACATCTTAGCTAACACAGTAACAAGTTCTTTAAGTCTAGTACAGACAAGGCACTGTATATTTTCAAAGGCTGCTCGCTGGTTATATTAAAAGCCCATTCTAACGATACACTTTTTATCCTACTGTTTCAAAGAAACAACTTACACAGTACAGCCCCAAAGAAGGCATAACTACATGGTTTTCTGCTTAAAAGCAGACTACTCTAAGTGCTCTAAAATCCACCACATGCTTACTTGGATTGTCTTGAAATTTGCTGTACCTTGTGGTTCCTAAAAGTTTCCTAGTTCACGTTAATGTAGTCCTCTTCAAAGAGGACTACATTAATGTGAACCAGGAACCTCTTAGTTCGTGCCCGCAACATCTAAACAGAGGAGTCACAGCGCAGTACTTTGGTGCACATTCCTATTCAGACCTCCATAGTCTAAACTGCATGGCTGTGTAGACATAGCTGAAGTCTCTACTAATCACTCAACTGATCTCAGTTACTTGGCGTACTTCTTAGCTAATCCATAGCATTCAATGTTCCTTTGGGGAAGCAATACTGAAAAAGTTATTAATCTTAGAGTCTGTATCTACAGGTCGGCTTGTGCTCAATTGCTGAACCAAAGAGACTGAAATGCGCATATGTAGCAAGACTCTGTCAGAGTCAACAGCCAGAGAATTTTTTGGCCATCTGTTGTC